AATTTATTCGTTATTTAATGCTATATTTTATTTTTATCATTTTAACTTTTAAGGGTTTCATATTAACTTAACAAGAGTACCCATCCTTTGAAGTTTGAACTGTAATACCTAATATGATTATTTTAAAAGGAAAAAATTTGGTTCCTTTAATTTATGTTAATTTTATTGATATGGAAACGAAATTAATTCATATTAAAAACCGTCCTCCGACTAAACTATAATAGGAAGCACGTAATAATATTATTATGTTGATAGTATTATATTAGTATTGATTCTATCACGTGGCTAGGTTATATAGCCAACGACAGGACGTAGTGACGTAGTGTTTCCTATTATCCATTATCTATTATTATTATTTATTAAAATTGCACTCCTCCACACTTTGGGATCGAATATTTAGTAGTTTCGCTAATTTCATTGATAACTATTTAGTTATCAATCAAATAATTAAAATTGCATKATATACTTTTCAAATAATAATAACTTTTAAAAATTATTTCATGCTATTTACAATAGAAATTTCGTTGCAGCTGTATAATAATATACCCAACGCTGAATACAATTACAATTATATATATGGTCATATATTCATTGAATAGCCGTAACGCATATTTATACGGAATTCCAAAATAATTTTTCAATAAAGAACATAACCCTTTCCATTGATTATAATCCTAGTGACAATTCACGTATACATACATTTATACACTTTTGATTGATCGTCTTCAGAAGTCTTTGATATTGAAAAAACCAGTAGGAGTAGTTTTCCCGTGATTCAATGAATATAAAGCAGGTATACTACTTTTTCAATTGAACATATAGTGTGACATTTGACGAAATGCGAATGATTCATAACCGAATACCGATTGCTACAAACAAATACAATTAGTATAATAATATATATTATTATATTACATATTGTACCAAAACGCACACCTACGAATATTAAATTGTAGAGGTAACGCAAAAATCAATGAAGTTTCAATATAATCAGATATTACACGTGTCTGTATATATATGCGTGCAGAGTTAAACACACAATTATTATTATGTAGTATACATGCAGTGATCTAATATTATATATATTCGACTAATACTTATCGTTAGTGAACAAAAATATACCTATCCTTACACAAACCCAACGTATCATTTTTTTAATCATTTTTCTGTTTCATGGGAAGCTACATTTTACTTAATGAACCGTCCGACAGGAAACATTAAATTATACGGTCGAAATATCCCAAAAACACGRTTTCCCTTTACACCTTTTATGTTCGCGGGGCAAACCGAAGTGGGCGCGCACACCAACCCCCATAACTAACACCCATTCCGTGATGCACCTGTACCTATACATAATATATAACAGAGCGACGCGCCTATATAGATATTAATCCATTGATAAGGGTTTAGATTTATGCGTCTCATTATGTGCCTTTTTTTAAAACTCTTACCGTGTCGTTGTGTCACTGAGATAATAATATATTGCTACGTTTTATTTGTATTCGATAAACCTCAATATATGTAAAGAATATATTATTTTTTTCATATATAGGCTGAACGCTGAACTATAGAAAGTATACAAACGGATACGATATAGGCGATGGCATCGTCAAAAACGAATACTGGTGGAGGATGTTTCGGCGAATGCCGGAAAAAAATTACCAACACTAAATTCACTAATTACGTTTTACATGTTATATTCATTAAACATTACAAATTTAATTACACTTTAATTTTTGACGGTATATGCTACAATTAAAAATAATTTTAAAAAATACACGTATGGAAAAAATTTTAAAAAACAAATTACAAATTCAATCACATTTCATTCTTATATTATGTTCTATATTAGATAGGAATATGTACATCAATACTTAATTCTCCCCTAGTATATTGTTCGCATATACTTTTTAGCCGAATTTGCATCATAATATTATGTCCTATATGTGGTCGTTTATAAGTTAATTGCCCAATTTCGCTTAACGTTWATTTAGCTTTAACGGTCCCCACCTTGTTTTTCGAATTTTTTATTAATTTAATCTATATCAATGGATTTTTATGCCCAACCAAATGACTAAACCCAATATTCCTTCCCTCACACACGTTTTTGCATGCTGTAAGTAATGGTTTTTTCGCAGTTATCCATAGGTACTATACGTCTATACCAGGTATACCTATTAAATAAGGTAAAACTATAATTTATATAATATTTATACCGTAATTGAATACCATCGTAACTTTATTTTTTGAGCCTTGATGAGAAAAACTTGTGTGAAAGCAATAATTAATAATTACTTGAATAATTAATTTCAATTCAACGGGGGTTTTTTTTTATTACTATATAATATTTTTAGAGTATAATGTGGTTTGGTTGAGCTTATTTTTCTTTTTGATTTACCTGAACTATAAAAAATAATTAAACTATTGTTTTGCGTTGTGTTAAAYTGGGATCCTCCAAGTTCTAATTTATATACATACATACACATGTATGATTCATTTGTGTAAAWTTTTTTTTAAAATTGAATTACTTATTACCTATAATGATAATATTCAGATAGTTAATCTACTATAATATTATATACCCGCGTTGAAGTTTATGAAGGTGGCTGGAAGACAGAAGCGTATATTCATATCAACAATGCRGCAACCTTTGAGTGTGAACAAAGAAAAAAACTGCAGCAAGACGCACTGTATTGAACGCACTTTTATCCAAAGTATGTTGTATTTCAATATGACCAATACATTTTTATTTAAAAAGTTTTGGTCATTATTTGGATGGTAATACAAATATACGTATTTATATATGTGATGTAGTAGAACGTAGAAAATAATTATTTGTGTTTATTCCACGTAAACAATAGCGTCGACGTTGTAAGTCTTTCGAATTTTCAAAAACATATAATATTACAATATATGACGATAAATTCAGTCGAATCACTCGCCAACAAGACGTCCTCTSTTTCTCTCCGTGTTTTGATTATATATTATTTCAACGCCAAAATATATATTTACATAAAATGTGTTAAAACTTTTTAAATAAATATATTTTACCGTTAATGTATCAACCATATAGATAGACACCTAAATATAACTTGTGAATGCGCCGAACGCATTTTAAAATCATCATTTCTCGAACATAACTTGTGATTATCTCGCGCCGAAACAAATTACATACATGAGCATATAAATTTGTAATTGGCGCGGTGTAGAAAAGATGCGAAAAATGGCGCGAAAACATTGCCGTTTTGTATAATACCTACCTACTACCTATATTATTATAGTTCCAAACGTATTCAGTCTGTCGTCAATATAATAATAATGCATAAATATATTATTATTTCTATGTAATATTATATGACTATAACATAAATAATATTTTATTTTATAGTCGAGGTGTAATAGATTAGTACTAAAAACTATGTAAATAATAATAATAAAAAAATATTACTTATTATTAACTATTTATACCTACGAGTCTACAGTCTACGCCWTCGACATGTATATACGATTACCATAATATTATATTATTAAACGTTTATTGTTTTGTGGTGTTTTTTAACGACTTCTTTTGACGGTTACAAAACAATAAGAAACCGGATTTCAGTTTTAAAAAGTCGAAAAAAAAAATGTTAAAATTTAACAGTATAATAATGTTATGGGTAGACGCCAGACGGTGCAGTTTTACAGCGTTTTATACATAAACTATAATAAATAATAATATATGCATTTTTGGTAATGGTATCCTGGTTCCGATTTCGTGGTAATAACGACTGTACCACAATATTAYTAAATTATTTTATTTTCATCGTGTCACCAGAGCGCTATTTCAAAACGGATATTTCGATTCGTTCGTTATGACGTGTTATCGWATCACACTTGTGCGCCACGAAAATTAGTCATAAATGGTAATTTAAAACACATTAACGACGACGTATTTCGGAAGGAAACTGTCGACCATGCGACGGTAATATAATATTAGTTAATCATTAGTCATACCMAACTAAGTGATTATGAATTACGACCTATATAATATTATTATCAATCGAACTGTCGCAATACCTACAGATAATATGACTCATCAAATAACTATGATATTGCTGTTATGGTATTTTTAATTATTACTGTTGTTATTGACATTGTATTGACATTGCAGGCACAAATCAGGTATTTTTACAATGTCGTATATGRCTATCAAAACTGTGAAATTATTATTTTTTAACGAATCTCAATGTAATCTAGGTTAAATATCATGTAAAACCTAATACAAGTAATACTCCGAGTAATACTGCAACTAAATGGACGCAGGTTTACTGAGTTTACTCAAGATTTCAGGCCTTGTACATTATTTTTGACTATTGTAACCGTTGTACACAAAACACATCGTGTGACTATGTATTCGATAAATGTTTAAAAAAATATAAATTAGTGAATAAAAATTGTATTATTATAATGAGTAAAAAACATTGTTAAATAAAATATATATTTACGGTAAAATCACGTAAAACACACTTAAGTCCATACAGTGTGATCAATTTATCGTGTATAATATTTTATTGATTTTTTTTTATTTTAAAAGAAATTAGCAAAATATAATATGGTAGCAAGAAAAATTTAAATAGGAGAGAGGTATCTACGACATGTCTACAAAATAAAAATAAAAATAAAAATAATAAATTGTTATATTATTTTTATAGATAATAATATTGTCTAGTTTAAGACAAATAATCATCCTGTACACATTTTGTATTTTTTATCTAAAAGTGGGTATATACAAAAAATAAATTATTAATAGTACTATAGGTWTAATATCTGTTTCGACAGAATTAAAAACATCGCAGGCTGATCTCTCACCGGAAGCACATCACCGGTGTTACACCCGGGTCGAAAAAATGATTTTAGTCTTCAGACTTTCGCAATAATTTCTCATATAAATAGGTATATAATAATAGTAATAATAATATATAGTATAATATAGTGTGCATTTTTTCCATTGTCTGCGCACATTAGTCGGTCGGCAGAAGGGTGGAAGAGTCGTCAGCGGGCGTCGGTTAAAAAGAATGAAAAAAAACCGTTAAAAACGTACATCGTCTCGACATGTGCAAGTAGCGATGTGTGCTATCTACCGGCCATCACACACACACAAAAGCAATTGTCGTCGATGGAACAAAATATAAAATATTATATCACAAATGTAGAAGTATTATTGTATACGAGAATAATGATTCGGCGTTTAGCGTCGGTGTTGTGCGCGTACGACGGTGGMGGATAACATCCCAAAATCGCATAATGAAAATCGGACGGCGTCACCCGAATAAAGGTACCGACACCTGGAAAAAATAAATATTATGTCGAAAACGAATACGATATTTTAAGCGATAATAATAATAATAATAATAATAATGATAGGTGCTATACGATGGGAATACAGAACGAACCGAGTCCGACGAATAATAATACGAGATGGCTACGTTTTCTTTTTCGTATGTATGTGTGTGTGTGTTCGCGCACCGGTCGAGTAGGCGGCAGTGTACCATCACCATCACCATCGTCATCGTCATCATCGTCATCGCCATCACCATTATCGTCGTCGTCATCGTCCATTGTTGTCAGTCGCGGCGTATACGTCGTTTACCTGTTCCCCGCCGCCACTCGGCCGACAACGCACACGGGCACACGCACACGCACGCGAGAACGGCGCGTAAAAATAACAAGAAGAGATGGCGTGTCGTGCGCTTGTGTGCGTGTAAAATATACGACGACGTCACGGACCGGCGGGAATGCGGTCGTCAGGTAGGGCACAACCGGTGAGTTCCTGTTGCGGTCGGACGACCCGAGTGGGGGAAACGTTGGACGACGCGAGCGCCGGCCAGWCCCGTCGCCCGCTCAGTCAGTTTTTGATACCGGTTCGTTTCGCCGTCTGTGTCGCGCTCGATATTTTCGTGTTGCGTTTTACGTCTGCGTGAGATTCGTCATGATGTCTTCTTGTTCGCGTCGTCGACGTGCGTGATCCATACGGTTTCCGACGGTTATTACAGTGCGCGAGTGAAGTAATATTGCAACCCATACGACTTATTTGACAATATTATAGAAATGTCGTCGTCGCTGTTGTAATAATATAATACTGTGCGCGCGTAATCCAAACTTGTGCGTCGTAAAAAATATCAACGTTATTATAATATTTAGTATTTACATTTCTTACTATTTGTGCGGGTCAGTCGCGATCGYGAAAATGTGGTGGTTTAGCGGCAATCGCGGTTCGCGGTTCTTGACCGCGGCGGCTTTGCTGGCGSTGGTGGTGCCGTCCGCGGTTCGGTCGTTCGAGGGCTGTCCGGCCGTRTGCTCTTGCAAGTGGAAAGGTGGACGACGGACGGTCGAGTGCGCTGACCGCGCGCTGATCACCGTGCCGACGGGCGTTGACCCGGACACTCAGGTGTTGGACCTGTCCGGAAACAATCTGCAGATCCTGCCCAACGAGACGTTTTACAGGGCAGGTCTGATCAACCTGCAAAAGGCGTACCTGCGCAACTGTCGCATCGGGCAGATCGACGAGAGTGCGTTTCGGGGTCTGACCAATTTGATCGAGYTGGACCTGTCGAACAACATGCTCACGTCCGTGCCGTCGTACGTGTTCCGGGACGTGCCGTACCTGCGCGACTTGTCCGTGGCCGGCAACCCCATACAGAAGATCGAGGCGCACGCATTCTCCGGCTGTCCGTCCGTCGTTAAGGTGGACGCGTCCCACTGCGGGCTTCAGTCCGTGGCCGGTCTCGCGTTCGATGGCATCGTCAGGCTGGAGACGCTSCGCATCAACGACAACAGGCTGACCGAGCTGTCGGCCACCGTGCTCGAGTCGCTCAACAAACTCCGGTCCATCGAGCTGCACGACAACCCGTGGGTGTGTGACTGTCACCTGCGGCCCATGAAGCTGTGGCTGACCGGAAACAACGTGCCGTACAGTCAACCGGCCCTGTGCTCTGGCGGCCCTGACAGGCTGTCCGGCAAACCGCTCACCGAGCTGGACGTGGAGGACTTCGACTGCCGACCGGACGTGCGTGCCGAGTCTCGGTACGTCGAAGTGACCGAGGGCCATAACGTGACGGTCCGGTGCCGCGTCGAGCCGGGTTCGATGGCGCACATCGCGTGGTATCTCAACGGCCGTCGGTTGCAGGGTGCCGGTACGCCGGCCATCGGGTATCCGGGTGCCGCTTCCGCCAACCCGCGCATGTTCGTCGTGGACGGCGTGGACGAGGAGGACGGCGGTCGTCGGAGCGAGATGACGCTGACGGACGTGAGGCGAGAAGACGCGGGCCAGTACTCGTGTCTGGCCGAGAACCGTGCCGGTAACTCCGAGGCCAACTTCACCGTTTACGTGAGCGACCGGCCATCCGTCATCATGTCGACGTTCGGTTCGGCGCACGTGAACGGCGTGGCTGCCGCCATGGCCGCGCTCATCGTATTCATACTGGTGTTGATCGCGTTGACCGTGATGCGGATCCGGCGGTCCGGATATCCGGCCGACACCAAGCCCACTGAGGTGGCCGGAAATCGCGGTGGCATYGGTGGTAGCGGCAAACCCAATACCGGTTCGTTGGCCATGCACGGTGGCGGAGCAACAATGGGACGCGGCGGTGGAGGATACGGAAACGGTGGGATGTTGACCGGAGGCGGAAAGACCAACCCGGCGCTGGACATATCGTCCGTGATCGAGCGCAACTACGATCCCGACCTGGAACCCGGACTGGGATCCGTCTGCACRCCCACGGGATCGTATCACGTGGCCGGACTGGACCTGATACACGATCACGACGCTTCCCGGCTGGAGATGTGCGATTCGCCCATGTCTTCGACCGCCAAACCTCCACCGTCGTATTACAGCGGCGGCCGGACMGTGTCCAGTGGCGGAAACGTGCGCCCTTACGACGATCGGACGCCGATCATCGGCACCGGAAGTGCRGGTGACGCGTACAGCGTGGGAACCGGCTCCGACGAAGTGTTTTCGTACAACAGCCAACAGCAGTTGCACTACGGTGGCGGCGGCGGCGGTCATTACGGTCATCAACAACAACAAGTCCTCGGCGGCGGTAGCGTCACCAGCGATTACCCGGCCGACTACGGTCTGCCTATCATACCGACCGGCCATCACCTCAATCAGTCTTCGACCAATGTCTCTCAGTACGGTCATCATCCGCAGCAGCACCCCCAACAACAACAACAACCACAACACCATCAGTTCTACAACAACAACCATCACCCACACCATCAGCATCAACAGCAGCAACAGCAACAGGAATACGTCCAACAGCAACAAGACGCGTCCCAGCAACCGTCGGTGAAGACCCTGCGGGTGTGGCAGAGGGGCGTACCGGTGTTGCCCACCACGCCGTCCCTGCAGAGGTTTGCCAACAGGACTTCGCCAACCACCCCCGGCACCGACGTCTGAGGGTAGAACTCGATTCGAGTCATCCTTCCGACACCTTAAGTACACCATATTAATATTTTGTACTGTATTACCGTGTTTCGTTTTATTTATAACGGCGCGTTTCGTTCCTTTCCGCGTTACTTTTCTACGAATTTCGTTGTTTTTGTTGTTGTTGTTGTTGTTATTGATGTAATGGTTGTTATGTTATTTCTTTTAATTGAGTGCTCGGCGTGTGACGCTGTACCGCGATGACCCGAAACGGACGATTTTTTCCATCCCGATAACACCTGGAGTCGCGACCAAAAT